TTCCTGATCAAAATCACACTAGACTGAACTGTAATAATAGATTTTCTAAATGTCTTTTTTTGCAGCAGAAACTGAATTTCAGAAAGAAAGTAGTAGAAATTATGTTACTAACCCTACCTAGAAATGTTTACATATTTTAAGATGCCGCTCTGACATTTATCAGCTTGACTGAATACTATTTCTGATATCTGAAATACATTTCTTCATAGTTTCTTCATAATACAAATGCTGACCAGTAACAATAGTAATATGAAGATCTGAAATAAATTTCTAGACATCCAGAATGTTTATTCTAGATGTAAAGAATCTCATTTTGTTTAAAATGATAATTTTGACAAGGAAAATATCTATTTGTGATATCTTTTCAGATATCAGAAATAGATATTCAGTAAAACAAGTGCATATAAAAATGACACGCCATAGCCTGTTGTAACCACGGTAACATTACGGGTTTATTTCTTGAACGGTAGTGGATCAATGTATCTATTTAGGTGGAATCACCTGTCAGCAGGTGGAGAATAAAAAGATTGTTCTAACAGGTAGGACCTGTTCATCATCTCATGGGTTCCTCCTCACTTTGATTCTGTCCTTTTTGACACAGTAAATACTGGCTGTTTGCAGCCCTTTCAGATGTTATCGTCCCAATAAATGGCTGTTATTAGCAGTTATCAGTCCCATAGAATGGCTTCAGATTGGGCCTCCTACCTCCCGCTAGGATCCATAGGTTGGTATCACTAAATGAATCCTAATCCTAACCTTAAAGTAATTCCCTTTTTTCCACAGGATTAATGTATTTATGTGAAATCTGAAAATAATTTCCATAGTTTTCCATGTGTTTAAAAACAAATAAAGAAAAAAGATCTGCATGTCATAAACCATAAATCTCATATCATTTCAACTCAGTTAATTTAAAGCACCACATTAAATTCGTGTAACTGAAATTTGTAATTCATTTGAAGTAAAATTTTGAAACTTACAGTAGTTTTTGTTAAAAAGGGACATTCTAAGTAAAGTAGATAAAATATATAAAGTTGGTAAATAACACGTATGGTTTTAGAGGTGGCCGAAGCTGCTTTATCAATTATAGACTGGATCTAATCAGCCATAAGGAACCTACTAGAAGGAGGAGGAGGAGGAGGAGGAGGAGGAGGAGGAAGAACAGCCTGAACTGACTGTTCAGTTGTTTTCTATAACTGTTTACTGTGAAATGCTGCTAATGAGGATGGATAATGTTGGATAATGTTGGATAATGTTGGATAATGTTGGATAATGTTGGATAATGTTGGATAATGTTGGATAATGTTGGATAATGTTGGATAATGTTGTGGATGTAGCTGATCATTTTCTAAAAATTAAAGTTAACCATTCATT